ACTTCAGCTTACTAATCCGTTGGGCTATGTCGGTTACTCTGGTTCTACTGCGGATATCCTCATTCCTAAGTTTATCACGCAGAGAAACTCCGAGCATAGCCCTCTCCATAGCTCGCTGAGCGACCTTGAGCTTTCTCATCCGGCCAGCAGTGAAGGACCACGTCTCAGTTCCGTAAGTCATCACTGGCAACACGCACTGGTTGTACAATTTCGTTTTAAGGTTTTGAGGTATGTCTGACGAGAAGATGTGTCTTAGCTTCCCGAACGCTGCCCAGCCGAGTTGAATCCGTCGATTGACCTCTCGGTCGAAGTTGGACTTACCTAGTCGGACTATTTGTCCCAGATAAACATAATCGTCAACAACTTCGAGCTTAGTGTTCCCAACAACTACCTGCATAGGTGTGACACGGACATTAAACATGATCTTTGTTTTGTCCATGTTCATCTTAAGACCTATCCGTTGGGAAACACTATTGAGGTCATTGAGCATAGTGCTTAGGTCCTCCAGCGATTCTGCCATAAGGACTATATCGTCGGCAAATCGAAGGTGAGTGATGTACTCGCCATTGATGTTGATACCGTATCCTTTCCAGTCCAGAAGCTTGAAAACGTCTTCCAATGCAGCGGTGCAGAGTTTCGGGGATATGACGTCACCCTGTCTTACACCTCTCTGCAATTGAATAGGTTTCGTACTCTGGTTCTGTACTCGGATAGCCATCGTAGCCCTACTGTACAAGCACTTCAACACTTCGATATACCGACAGTCAACTTGGCACCGCTGAAGGGACTGCAGCACCGCCCAAATTTCGACGGAATCAAAGGCTTTCTCATAGTCCACATACGCCAGACATAGTGGCAAATTGTACTCTTCGGACTTCTGTACAATTTGCCGAAGGGTATGTATGTGGTCTATGGTGCTAAAGCCCTTTCGGAAAACGGCTTGTTCGGGAGGCTGGAAGTCGTCAAGTCTGCGCGCGAGACGATTCGTAATGACTCTCGAAAACAGCACGTAGACGCGGCTCAGAAGGGAAATCGGTCTGTAGTTCTTCAAGAGAGCGTTGTCGCCTTTCTTGAAGAACAAGACCACCGCACTTCTGCTCCATGCCTCCGGTGTAATGCCACCATGGAGGACGGAATTAAAGAGCTTCTGAAGGACTTCAAGTACCGGTTTTCCACCCGCTTTCAGAAGCTCCGCTGTAATTCCATCCTCGCCTGGGGCCTTACCGTTTTTAAGGTGCTGGAGAGCCATTCTAATCTCGCTCAGACTGACGTCCGTGATATCTTCGGAATAGTGTCGGATGAGACTCGCTCTTGGATCGTTACTCACACTTGCGTGTGGCTCCAACGATGACGTGTACAACTGCCCATAGAACCTCTCAATCTCACTCAAAATTTCAGGTGTCCCGGAAACTATGCTGCCACATTCTGTCTTCAGCTTTGACAGTTGGCTCTTTCTGGCAGACAGATAACGCCAACAATTTGCTCTTAAACGGCAATAAGACAAAATGTATTAAATTTACAATACCTAATGTAAAACATTCGAAAACCAATGTGCTCTTAAATGGGGAGGAGTTGAGTCTTGTGGATACCACTGTTTTTCTCGGTATTACTATTGACGCGAAACTTCAATGGGGCCCCCATATATCTAAATTAGCAAGCAGACTTAGTTCTGCAGCATATGCTGTAAGAAAGATTAGAAGTCTCACAGATGTTGAGACAGCTAGGTTAGTGTATTTTAGTTACTTTCATAGCGTAATGTCTTATGGAATTTTGCTATGGGGTAATGCGACTGATATTGAAGCTATATTTGTTTTGCAAAAGAGAGCCGTACGGGCGATTTATAATCTAAATTGTAAAGAGTCCCTTAGAGAAAAATTTAAAGAAATAAACATATTAACTTTGGCATCGCAATATATTTATGAAAATGTAATGTATGTACATAAAAACATAAATAGCTTTAATAAGAATAAGGATGTTCATACCTTAAACACTAGGAACAAACATAAGCTTGTAATGCCACTTACAAGACTCCACAGAATTAGTAATTCATTTATGGGGCAATGTATACGCTTTTACAACAGAATCCCAGAACATGTTCAAAGTTTGTCAATAAACAAGTTTAAAAGTTTTATTAAAGAAAAACTGTACAAAAAGGGTTATTATAATATCAAGGAATACATGAGTGAAAATAACCCCTGGGAATAAGGTGATCGCCACCATGCTGGTTTTATGAAAATTCATTTAAAATTGTATAATCAAAATTATTGTTAAGTGAAATTATGTTTAAAAAAAAAGTCCCGCTGGGTTTCTTGCTGGTTCTTCCCAGGACAGAGGTATTTTCCGAACCAGTGGTAAATAAAATAATGACTTTCAATAAGTATTATGTAATAATCCATATTGAATAAAAATCATTCTATTCTATTCTATTCTATTCTATTCTGGCAAAGACTTTGGAGCCTTGGTTCCGCTCGATCGCTTCTTCAATACGAGCTGTATTGAAGTTGCGTAAGTACCGCCGCATGCATTTGGAGATCTGTCTGTTCAGATGCCTGTATGCTGTCAAGTCTGTTGAAGAATGTAACTTCATCTCCCGTCTAACAGCCATGAGATTAAGAGTGTGATCGGAGAGTTTTTGTGTTCTTCTGCGGCGGGTCTTGCAGAACTTAGCTCCGACCGCATGGACAGTTTCCACGAGCTTGTCATTTATATCGTCCACTTCATTGCAGTCTTCTAGACACTGAAAACGGTTTTATAACTCAAGCTGAAAGGTTTCGGGACTTTGGAACAGAGCACGAGGGGGACGGAGCGTTGACTTCATTAGACGAGACCTCTCCAACTTAACGTTTAGGTTCAGTGTGCCTCTAACCATTCGGTGATCGCTAGCAGTTTTCACCCTCGCGATCACGGAGACATCACTGAACAGTTGTCGTCTGGTCGTCATAATGAAGTCAGTCTCATTTTTTGTCGAACCGTCGGGGCTCGACCAGGTCCACTTCCTGTGGGGCCGATTCTGGAAGAAAGAATTCATCATAAAGAGTCCCTCTTTCTCCATGAAGTCGGCCAGCTGCTGGCCCCTTGGGTCCCGTTGACCTATTCCAAATTTCCCTACTTTCAGCTCACCGTTCTCTCTTGTGCCTAGTTTTGCGTTGAAGTCTCCCATTAACACCGTATATTGGGTTTTGGAGGAATGCATGGCTCTAGAGATATCCTCATACATTTCCTCCACCTCCTCATCGGGGTGTGCCGAGGTTGGTGCGTAAACCTGTATGACCTTCAGCGAATACCGTTTGATTAATGAATACGTGATTCTGAGTATAAGGTACGCAACCCTCGTCGACACACTCCCAATCTTTACAACGTTGTTAACGAGAGACTTGTGGACGATAAATCCGACACCTCCTTGGGACAGATGGTCGCCCTCCCGGGCATAGAGCAAGTTGCCGGATTCAAGGATTACCGTGTCCTCCCCCTCTCTTCGGACTTCGGATAATCCTATAATATGCCAGCGCAACTTGTCTATCTCTTCTTCCAGCTCCACAATCTTCTCGTCAGTCCTCAGGGTGCGTGCGTTGTACGTTGCCAGGTCGAGTCGTCTAAGGTGGCAACCGAACCTCCACCGGAGATTCTTAGCACCCCCTGCCCCGCTGTTACCATGGTCGCCACTGTAGCCAGGAATAGCGGGGCCGCCGGGGACTGGGGGCCGTTTCTTTGTTACTGTCATTTATAGGAGGGTATTTGCCATAGTTGCCACGCTTGGCGAGCGGGTTGGCAACCGCAGTTTTTTTTATTGTTAGTTTGTTGTTATCAAGAAGATGCTGCTGCCCATCTCCTGCCTGTTTCCCTTTGTCGCCTTTTACGACACCCACGGGAGGATATGGGGTAGTGGATATTCTTGACCGCCACTACACGGCAATACAGTAATTAAATATTCCTGAGATCTATTTTGTGATTAACATTCTAATATTTATAAACCTGCTTTTTACATAAATATATGTATAATACGACGTTCCAAGCCTGTATTAGGCTGGAATTAAAAATAAAGTAACCGGTTTAGCAATCATTAAACGGAGATTATAAATACAAATGTCAATCTGAAATACATGTTTTAAATATCGCTTGCCATTTTGGGAGATTCATTCTAAGACAACTACATATATTTGTCAAAAAGTCTTGTTTGTTAGTTACGGGTGGGCATAGAAGCGAAAATAAAGGGTTTTTCAACAAGAACTTTGTTTTTCAATTGGGGCAACACCAAACAACATGACAGTTTTGACATTTAGTTTTTTGACCTATTCGTAGTAGATGCTTTGGCAATTGCTACAATGAATTCAATTTCGCTCGAAAATCGCATTAAAATAATTAAAATCCACTATGAAAATGGTGGTTCTGTTAAAGTTACGTTTCGTAAAATTCGTGATATTTTCGGACAACATAATCGTCCTTCTGAGACCGCTATTAAGAATTTGGTCACTAAATTTGAATCGACAGGCTCGGTACAAAATGCGCCAACACCAACGCGTGTTCGACCGGGTCGTTCAACCGAAAACATCGCAGCCGTGAGCCACAGTGTTGAAGAAGATCCAAATTTGTCAATTCCTCGACGTTCTCAACAATTGGGGTTATCCAAAACCACCACATGGCGAATTTTGCGTAAGGATTTGGCTTTGAAGCCTTATAAGGTTCAACTGGTGCAGGAATTGAAGCTGACCGACCATTCACATCGCCGTAGATTCGCTCAATTCATTCAGGAACAGCCCGCTGGTTTTTCTGAAAAAATCATTTTTTCAGACGAAGCCTATTTTCACTTGTCAGGGTACGTCAACAAGCAAAATTGCCGCATTTGGGTTTCTGAAAATCCTAAAGCGATTATTGAGAAGCCTTTGCATGCTCAACGTGTCACTGTATGGTGCGCTATGTGATCTGGAGGCGTGATTGGGCCGTTTTTTTTCGAAGATGAGGCTGGAAATGCGGTAACGATCAATGGATTACGCTATCGCGAGATGTTAACATCTCAATTTTGGCCTATTATTGATGACATCGATATCACAAACATGTGGTTTCAACAGGACGGTGCCACATGTCACACAGCCAACGAAACGATCAATTTATTGCAAACCAAATTTCCCGATCGCATAATTTCACGAAATTCAGCTGTTAAATGGCCAGCCAGATCGTGTGATTTAACACCACTGGATTATTTTTTGTGGCGCTATGTTAAGGACAGAGTCTATACGGAGCCAATCGAATCGATCGCGGCCTTAAAACTCAAAATCCGTGACGTGATTAACGAAATAGACCCGCCATTTTGCCAAAAAGTGATTAAAAACTTTGATGAAAGAATCGACATCTGTCAGCGTGGTCGTGGTGGACATTTGCCAGATATCATTTTTCATTCATAATTGCCAAACTTTTCTCTTCGTAATGCAATAAAAATTTGAATCATCTTCATCTAAACTCTTTGTTTTATTTTGTTTTAGAAAACAAAGTTCTTGTTGAAAAACCCATTACATATGTACATAGCAGCCAAAAATACTAACCCCATATACAATACCGTATGTTCCGCTACATTGTATTCCATATAATACTTACACATATCTAAATTAGCAAGCAGACCTAGTTCTGCAGCATATGATGTAAGAAAAATCAGAAGTCTCAAAAATGTTGAAACATCTTGATTAGTTTGTTTCGGTTACTTTTATAGCGTAATGTCATAAGGAATTTTGTTGTGGGGTAATGCGACTGACATCGGAACCATATTTGTTTTGCAAAACAGCGCCGCGCCGTACAGGCAACTTATAAGTTAAATTTTAAAGATTCCTTCAGAGAAAATTTTAAAGATATAAACATACTACCTTTGCTAATGTATTTATGAAAATATGTGTGCAAATAAAAACATTAATAGCTTTGATTTCTTATCATAAAGATGTTCATACATTAAAAACTAGGAATAAGCTTGTAATGCCAGTTACTAGACTCAACAGCAAAATCCCAGAAAATATTCAAAGTTTTTCATTAACAAGTTTAAAAGTTAAAGAAAATAATTATACAAAAAGGGTGATTATAATATCAAAGATTACCTACATGAAAGAAAACAACCCCTGGAATGGAAGTGATCGAATTTGTATGTAACTCTGTTGAGTATGTAATGTTAAAAAATATACAATTTCGCTGGATTTCTAGCTGGTACTTCCCAGGGCAGAGGTGTGTACCGAAGCAGTGGTAAATAAAAGAATATACTTTCAATAAGTACTATGTAATAATCTATATTGAATAAAAGGTATTATTCTATTCTGTTCTGTTCTGATCTGTTATTTTCTGTTCCGTTCTATTCCATTCTATTCGATTTTTTCTATTCTATTCTAAATATGAAGCACTTTGAAAATACGAATCTTTTGAACGAAAACGAGCACGTCTTTATCATTTAAAATTGAATGTCATTAAAACCTTGGTTAAACAGTCGTTTAACCAAGGTTTAACAAGAACTATATTTAACAAGCCACAGATCTGGATAGCAACAAGTGCTATTACAGGACATGGCTCTTTTATCAAACATTTATTTACCATAGGTGTTACAGATAGTTAGGGTACTATCTGTAACATACATGCCCTGCACCCCGAAGAAACGGCGGTTCACGTGTTGCTGGCATGTCGCAGGTCGCTACATACAGGGCTAAACATCTCGGCACGTCGGGATCACACTCCGAAGTTGCTCGCAACATCAATGTACTTGAACTTCTTCGGGGAAATTTTATGGCTCGAATAATCACTCGTATATCACTAAATACGATTTTCAATTTTCCTAAAAGTATGCCAATTACTTACATTATATTACTGCTATATTAGTATAGTATAGTAGCTATCCATTGTGGCCCCAGCACGAATGAACCCTGTGGCCCACGTAGAGAACACACGCTCATAGATCAACAGCGTGAATTAGCAGCATAAATCTACTATGGCTCGTATAGTACGAGAACCGGAGATCCTTTTTACGAGTAACTTAAGGATTAAGGTGGAATGCCCCTTTCTACCTTAATCCTTAAGAGTGACTACGAATTCTTCATTTTGATTCGTACAATATATGAGAGTGGGTGTCGTAAGAGGCGACGGAAGGAAACAAATCACGAGATGACCAGCAGCGTATTGCTAATAACGTTGCGAACTCGCTTGCCAAGCGTGTCAACTGTGGCAAATATCCCTCCTATGAGGCAATCTATGAGGGAGGCCTATGTTCAGCAGTGGAATTTAGGCTGTACGGTAACGGTAACATTTCTTAGAGTGGGTGCAGTACCTCTCCCTTCCACAATCGGCCAACCAGACGCTCGGCCGGGGCAGACTCAGTTGTCGATATAATATCACGCATTTGAAACAAATGATTTGCTACGTTGTTCTTCATGCGTAGGGGCAGTAAAGAAACGGAATAATTTTCGAGCATCTGTCATTTTTAGTCGTTATTACGAAGATTCTCTGCCCATCTCCTGCTTTGTTTCCCTCTGCCGACACTTACGGGATGATATGGGATATTGGATATTCTTACACCGCCACTACACGGGGCGGGTCGCTTGTCTCTACATAAAATGTAGGCAATAACATATGAAACAATTTCCAACAAATAACATTTTTGTAGTTGTTATCTATCGAATGCATAAACATATAACAAAACTGAAGTGTTTGTCTGTAATATCGCAATAACTGCCTTTTAATGAGCTGATGAGGATAATTGCATGCCATTATAATTAATAACAAGCTGGTCCCCGCGACTTCGCTCGCGTGTAATTTAGGTTTTAAAATTTTTTGTGCGGAACCCTAATTCTTTTTCTGAAATAAAAGTAGCCTAAGTTACTCGTTATAGCATCAGCTGTCTTCCTGTGAAAGTCCCATCAAAATCGGTTATGTATCAAAAATCTTCTTGTTCCTATGGAATGTACTATTTACACGATATTGTAATTCATGTGGACAAAAGATACACATCCGAAACCTTACAAAAATCAAATTACATTTGGCAAAAATATATATAAAACCCTTTGACTTCCCCAATTTTAACAATTAGGCAACACGGATTCAATTAGCATGACCACGTTTAGATATTTATAACATATTTATATATCTATAAGAAGTCTAGTTTCTTAGTTTAGGAGTACACTCGTTCAAAAAAGTTGCTTGTCTGCTAAATTTGTATTTTAAAAGATAAATTGAACCAAAATTAATTTAAGCAACTACTTATAGTAGTGACCATTATACCACGTTTAAATTGCAGGATACATATATAGCCATAATATAGCTATATATACATATATACTGTATATATAGCTATATTATGCAGCATGCTCTACGTGGTAGAGCCATGCTGCAGCTATATTATGGTTGTAGCACGAATGGGTCGGCTCGACCGGGGAAGAACCACGCTCTCACAGAAAACCTGCGTAAAATATCAGCTTAACGCTGCTGTGTTTCGTGTGGTGAGTGTAGAGAACCGGAGACCCTTTTTACTGGCAAAGAGGCATTCCATCTTAGTCCTCACGGGTGACAACGCATCTGCATCTTGAGTCTTTATTGAGGATAGATGTAGATGTCTATGGGTCACAGTAACCACTTACCATCAGGTGGACTGTGTGCTCGTTTGTCACCCGATAATATAAAAAAAAATGTAAATTGGATGGGAAAAGAGCTGCTGCTTAACTAAAATAATTTTTTTATAAAATCAAATAAATAAACACCATCTTAAACTATCATATACATTAACTATCTTTTATATATAATTCATAATAATTTAAGAACAATATATAAACGTCGTTAGTAATTATATACTCTTTGGTTATCCACTACAGAGAATGAGTTTTAAGAAAAATGTAAGTAAGGCTTAAAAAGGGCATACAGAAAGTAAGTTTTTAGTTTTAATAATGTAGCGCCAATAGGAAAGAAAGAGAAAAGGCTAAAGTTACCCTACAGCTCTAGAGCCACATAAAAATAAATAAGCACCTACATAAAAAACATACAAGGAGGTTGTAATTACTCGAATAAAATATTAAAAGAAGTTTAATTAAAGGCGAATGCTGCTATCCATCTCCTATTCCAGTTTCTCTCTGTCGCCTATTATGACTCCCACTTGAAGCCTTGCGAGTGGCTGCGTGACCTTTTCAACGAGACTAATATCAGACACTTCCATCACTTTCTTTTTTTGAGAAAACATAAATTTTAATTTGATAAAAAGTGGACTATTTACTATAGAACGGTTCGAGGTGATACGGTAGAGGGTCCTAAATTTAGATTGGCTAAAAGTACTTAAAATAATCTGAATAAACGCATAAAATTTTAGAATATGATTATTATATAAATGTTTAAAGATGTAGTGCAACATTCTAACATAAATATCCATTATGAAAATTATGAAAACTTGTTAAGGAAACTTTGTTTAATAAAATGGTAGTATAGGTTATTTTATCGGCCCCAGTCCAGTCACCGGCGGCTCAGCTATTCCTGACTACGATGGCGGCCATGGTAACGGCGGGGCAGGGGGTGCTAAGAATCTCCGTCGGAGGTTTGGTTGCTACCTACGACGACTCAACCTGGCAACATATAACGCACGCACCCCGAGGACAGACAAGTTGCGCTGGAATATTATGAGATTATCCGAGGTCCGAAGAGGGGGAATGGCATGGTAATCCTCGAATCCGGCAACTTTTTCTATTACCGGAAGGGCGACCACCTGTCCCAAGGAGGTGTCGGATTTATCGGCCACAAGTCTCTCGTTAACAACGTTGTAAAGATTGAGAGTGTGTCGACGAGGGTTGCGTACCTTATACTCAGAATCACCAATTGGTATTCGCTGAAGGTCATACAGGTTTAGGAAGTGGAGGAAATGTGTGAGGATATATCTAGAGCCATGCATTCCTCCAAAACCCACTATACGGTGTTAATGGAAGACTTCCACGCAAAACTAGGCACAAGAGAGAACGGTGAGCTGAAGGTAGAGAAATTCAGAACAAGGCAACGGAACCCATGGGGCCAGCAGCTGGCCCACTTCATGGATAAAGAGGGACTCTTTATGATGAACTCTTTCTTCCAGAAGCGGCCCCACAGGAAGTGGACCTGCTCAAACCCCGACGGTTCAACAAAAAATGGGGTTGACTTCATTATGACGACCAGACGACAACTGTTCAGTGATGACTCAGTGATCACGAGGATTAAAACCGCTAGCGATCACCGAATGGTGAGAGGCACACTGAACCTAAGCGTTAGGTTGTTTCTATTTCTGAACACAAAAACTCTCCGATCACACTCCTAATCTCATGGCTGTTAGACGGGAAATGAAGCTGCAGTCTTCAGTAGATTTGACAGCGTACAGGCAACTGAACAGACAGATCTCCAAATGCATGCGGCGGGACTTACGGAACTTCAATAC